TTTTCCCGTCTTCATTAGTCCAGTTCGGAGCAGAACAGTAGGACGTTAAACTCCATTTCATTTCATTTCTTTTATTTCAATTTTCCTGTACTAAACAGAATTACCAACTGTGTTGACATCGTCTTTTAGCTGGTCTGTCTCAATGTGAAGGTTCACTGTGTCTTATTATTATGGTACGAAGATTCGTCAGCTTTCTAAGCGACACAAGACGATCATTATTAAATGGGTTTATAATGTATCTAGTTAATTTGTATTTACCCACGACCCGTATTTGGTTTGCGTTAACTTTGTCAATTTGTCCAAGATTTATGAAGGATGCAATTTAAAGTGGATGTACTTCTTGTTCCATAACAAAGTTAGATAATACCCAAGTTCTAGGAATCCGGTGCAGTCGTTAGGTTAGCGGGAGAACGTAACACGGATATGCCAGAAATGTGGTAGTAGTACCTGTTTGAGAAGATCTACACCAAAGCCCGTGATATCCCCATGTTAGTTCTAAGCTAATGTATTATGTCAGACAGGTCTTTAAGTCAAGCGAAGTATAATCTGGAAAGCGGGGAGTTTGTTAGTCAACGTTTTAACACTCATGGAGATTTGGTATCTTTTAATCCTAATTGGACGTAAACCAATTCATGCTGCAGCCTCTGAACCAGATAGACTGTCTCTTCACGAATTTAAAGATACTGCATAAATCGCTTCAACCTATTCCCAATGTTGTGCCCTATATAACCTTATGTTTAATTCTATACCCATATGCTTTATTCAATCCCCTAATATTTCATTCGATCCCCTGATGTATCGCCTGATCCTTTCCCGAGCTACCCTATCCCTCGTTGATTCTTATATATCAAAATGAAGCATCTGGACATATCTTGATGTCCAGATGCTCCATTCTACAATTTGATATTTTACTTAAGTCCACCTACCCCCGATACTCCATTCTACCCGAGAAATGAAATGAAATGGGGTTTAACGTCCTACTGTTCTGCTCCGAACTGGGCTAAGGGAGACGGGCATGCATATGAGGGAAATGTTGCCCGCACAGCGGCACTACGGCCTACTCTTATATCGAATTCCAATTTTTAAGGGATCTTTTACGTGTACGCCAATGTGTGCACGAGACCACGGTGTTTCGTCCCATCCGAACGACTAGACAGCTGTCCTTGTTAGGCCCTCCGTCCTGCATCACTGACAAGGATGAACATTCTCGGCCAATGCAGGGATCGAACACCTGACCTCCAGGTTAGCGAGCCAGCGTCTTACCCACTTAGCCACCGTGACCCCCTCTACCCGAGAAGCAGGTTCATATCGTGAAGTGTTGAACCCATAGTTTCTGACCCACCATACGCTTGATGATTCAACATATTCCCAACATATTCATCCAAGCCGCTATGACGTACCCTATCCGGGGCTACTTCTTCTTGTCCTACAGCTAAGTAACACAGAGCTTCATCCTATCTTTCGATGTTTAATTATATTATGCCAATGTGTACACGGGACCTCCGTTTTTGTAACATCCAAACGACTAGACAGCTGTCCTTGTCAGGCTCTGCGTCCTGCATCTCTGACAAGGGGGAACCACGCCGGAAAATCTGGATTAACCAACCACATTTTAAAACCAATTTTTTTAACTTCATGTAGCTATGAAGACTCCAGTATTCGAAACTGACCGGTAACAGTAATGTATTATAAAAGTAAAGAAATGATGTCTCTCTGATCGATACACCGTAAGTGACTAAGTCATGTATGGAAATGTTAATTAGCAAGAACAAAAGTTTATATTTTCGCCCGAATAATTAACTACAGAAGTAATTGTATATGATACAAACAACAATATCAATCAATATATTTGAACCAATTGTCATAATTGCATCAGCTTATTGATTTCAAAATTCTTTAGTCACTCATTCATATCAATCACAAATCATTCCAAACCATTGATGAGTAGCCTAGGGATTCCACTCTGGAAATGTGCGCTTAACGAAATGAGCACATATAAAGTTGGGCGTCTCCACTTATAGAATAAACATAAACAAAGCAAAAAGTAAGTACATAATTTCTAAAATATTTTGCTTTGTTCCTATTTATTTTGAAAAAGGCATTTTATAAAAGCGATTACTACAATTTGCCTTAACTTTGAGAGCCCTGCAACCCTTGTTAACTACAATTTGTTTTCGACTTTGCAACAACCATTACTTTGAGAGTCGTGTATCCCCTGGAGGATCCCAAATGACCCAAATCTATCGTATGTTGGTCTACTTCTATTTTGATTCAAAATTCTGTTAACGAAGACAGTTTGGCATCTGGTTTTTTTAAAGCCGCTAATCGCGATTTGGAATTTTTCGGGTGATATCTAATTTTCCATGACTTTATGCCCACTAAAATATTCTCGAATTGATGAATTAGAAAATCAAAACCAAAATATAAACGGTATATAATAGCCCGACCGGAATTTAATCGGATTAAAAAATGACCCATCACTACATTATAACCTAACTTACAGATTCGTTTGTATATTGTTGGCAGAGAGGATGTCGAATATTTTGAAATTTTCAATTCGTCATATTTTTGGATATTCCATTTAGATATTCAACATTCACAATATCGTTGTTTATAAGGGATTATAAATTCCTCCAAATGAAGATCAAAATATAAGTACTTTCTCTACCTTTGAAAACCAGAGAAAATAAGTTGCCTGGGCTGTTGTGACTACTACCAACGTTAGTGTCGTTTTTCCGGTTCCTAAAATCTGTCTTACCACCACTGGAAGTAAGCGAAACTACGCTACTGACCAAATCTGGTTTTCAAAATTGAGATTAAGTAATTCTTCCATGAATATATCTAGCACTATTATCTGTCTTCAGACCTCGTTCTTGAAACATTTCAAGATCGACAGTGTAGTAGTTGTTAATTTTTTGTTAACCATGTTTTTTAAATCTCTGTATAGATTAAAGGAACTTCAGTACTTTATTATTAGAAACATTTTAAATAATCTATAAGTAACGATATTGCACCCATGAAACAATGCTAGAGATTTCCAAACATGCGAAAAATGACTCGAGTTCTGAGATGACAAAATAGCCCCGACCTAGGCAAACTTGTATCAAATTTAATCACCTCTTCAAGCATTAAAATCATCCAAAACCAAAAAAATGTTGCTATAGGAGCGCCACCCAGACCCCAGTTGCCTTTATTACTACCTACAGTTTGACACTACCGGGGAGATATTTCTATATCTGTGCCCTGACAAGCAACAATTGATTAAACCATGACGTGTCTATCCTGTAATGTACATATTAGGAATCGACACGCCCTGGTTTTTCTGGATTAATAAATAAAATGACACACCTTTTTTGATAAACATCCGCGTCATTTTCTTCTCCATGGAACAGTAAAGGTTAGTGTTCAATAAGACATGATGACGCATGCGTTAACTCATTGATGAAATACGTGTCTTTACATCTCTCGTGGACAATATATAGTTATTACCACTATTATATTATTTTATTTACTGACTGAATCATATCAGGTTTACTTTTATATATCATGTATTGTAAATAACATTTTTAAAAGCTGACTCATCATAACAGAGCAAGAGAGGATAGGAAATGATATGAAAGGACTGGAGCTGAACGACCCGTCCATACAATACTCTGAGACTAACATATATATAGTGTATGTTTCCATACATTGACTCTTCCGTCTACTTTTCTTCAATTGCCAACTTCCAGGCGTATTTTTACGTGTACACCTATGTATACACCAATGTTACTCGGTTTTCTAAACGATTGTAAGAAACATGCGATACCGGCGATATCCCATAGGAGCAGGAATAATGGACGTCCTCCACCCCAGCACATATCCCAATCTTAAATGTTAGCGAGAGAGAGAGAGAGAGAGAGAGAGATGGGGTTTAACGTCCACTCGACACAAACTAGATCATTTCGGGGCTAACATATGGTTTAATTTTATTTCATTAATTCGCTTGCGCGTAGGTGTCTTTAGCAGTGGGAGGAAACCGGAGGACCCGGAGAAAACCCACGAGGTTGGACAGGCGACTCTATATACTCCTTGTCAAGTACAATGAAACATAAAGGTTGAAACCATTGGGTTTAAGTTAATCCCAAAAATTCAGATACGTGTTTGTTTGCATCTCACCTTCCCCATCTTTATCAATAGACTTATAATAACCCCCGTGTATTTTTGTATAAAAAATAACCATCTTCCTGTACATCTCATAACCCCCCTGTTTATTTCTGTATAAAAGATAACTATCTTTATGTACATAACCATCGAAAATAAAATAACTATCAGTTGACTAACCATATCACCGCGGTGCGAATGCCACTTAAAGAAAAAAACTTCATTCAATGTGTCTCATCTATTACTTAGATTTATAAGTAATAATGAAATGTAGTGTTCCCCGAGATTCTCAATACAACCCACACATACTGAAGGTTCGTTATAATGAAATGTAAATAGTAAGGCATTACTGTTGAGCACGCTTGCTTTAAAGAAGACTATTTCAGTTTGAGTCCCACCTGTTACTGTTATTTACGAAACATGGAGCTAAAAAAGTCTTAGATTTAAAACTTTCTTTTTTTTCATTCAAGTGCAATTCCAGGTAAAATAAATTAGATGTTAAATTTGTTTCATCATTTTCAAAATGAATTCATTTTTGAACCCTTCACATTGGCGTATTGTCGCTTTAAATTTTATTCTCAGCTATTTATTGTATAGGGACATAGGCCTATTATAAAGAATACGGGTAGGTTATGGGGACAAGGGTTTCTTTTATATTCTTTAAGCCCCTTTATTCGGCGTCAGTCTAGTGAGGAGAGACGTCACACACGACTCATACAGTTTACTGTTAGTTTCCATTCGGTAGACATCGACTGCATGGCTCACTCGCTATAGTATAAACCCCGTCGATCAAGTTACTAAAAATAGACCATGAATGTTTTCAGGTAGTCAACATAACTGAGAAAAGGTGAGTTTAGGGTGTTCCTACATGTGGAGGTGAATTTGTGTCAACTTCACCTGTTTTACGCTGTTAGTTTGATAGTCAGTAGTCTGGTCGAGTGTTACTCCTGTCAACCTGTCGACTTTGATGGACACGGTGTAAGTTTCTGTACGTCTCTGGATTATACGAAGATTTTTGTGAGCCATATTAATACTTAACAGGTATGCTCCTATATTCGCCCTATTGTTTTTGTTATGAACACGTGATTGTTCACCGTTGCATGTGTTCAGTTGATTAAAGTACATTTTGTAGGCTAATATTGAGAAATAAGGAAATTTACTTCTGGAATGAATGAAACTGACATCAAGGTATACAAATCTACAGCTGATTATCGGATATCTGTCAATCAGGTATCGACATTGCATTCGGTCATAAATTATTACATTGCTATTCATGAGATGAGATAGTGCAGCTCTTGATCAGTGTCTGCATGGCATTTTGTTTTTGATTAATGAACGTTTTCTGTAAATTATCTTAGAAAAAATAATATTACATTATTATGTTGCTTATGGATGCATGTTATCTTCAAAGTTCTCTATCGTTATTTATATGTTTTAAAACAGCAATTAATGTTTTTACAATAGTGATATTGAACTATATATTAATGAAATTTAAACAGGAAGTTTGTCTTTAACCCCCAGTTTTTTTTTTATCGAAATAAAAAATAACATGATTAAAACTAACATAATGTTCAAAGTTTAGATCAAAATATAATTGTTATACACTAAGGAAAAAGATAACAGATTGGGATATGTTTCAATTTAATAATGAATTTATGTATACTTCAGTATACGTTTATCAAATAGAATAATTTTACATTAATAACTGTTATGTTTTGTTTTATCTGACGACAGTTTTAGTAGTTTAAACAGACATAAATATAAAAAGTAATTTTTGATTTTGTTCGATTATGTTGACATCAATTTATGTGAAATGAAATGGGGTTTAATGTCCTACTTTTCTGCACCAACCGGGCTAATAAAGACAGGATATAAAATGTGAAGGGGGGGGGGCAGGATGACGATCCAATATCATGATACACACGTTTTAAGTGAAATACATGTAAATCGCCGTATACTGAATTTCAACGTTACCCATAAGATGAATTTAATGGTATTTTTGATGTCATTAGATATTGATGAAATTAAAAGTGATAGAGTCTCTTTAAACAACTATAGTGGCAGACTAAGAATCAATATTAGAGTTCTTAGATGGAATCTCAGACTCGGTTGAAGTCGGCAAACAAAACCTGAAAGCTGAAGTTAAATAAGGGGAGAGTGCGGTGTTAAAAAGTTTTCGGAGTAGATTTTTGTTGAAAACATGAGGTCAATTTCGTATGTTATTTTAAGACCTGGCCCCGAGTTCACAAAGCATTCTCAGACTTAAGTTAAGAATTTACTCAACTTTCAATTACTGTTTATGAGAAATATCTTTGATCCAGAAACACAAAACTTTGCACATAGTTTCTTATTGCGGTATTTGGTACATTAAAAAAACAAACATTTTATAAAGTTCTATATTTTAGTTAAAATAAGACATACAATTTTGAGTAAATTCTCAACTTAAGTCTGAGAATGCTTTGTGAACTCGGAGCCAGGCTTGTAGTGCCCTTACTTACCATCTTAAAAGGTTTTTGGTGAAGATTTTTGTTGAAAACAAAAGTTCATTTTCTGTTGAGTTTTTAGTTTGTTACGCCTTTAATTATAATGTTAACGACAAAATCTGACTTGTTGTGCCTTTAATTATAATATTAACTACAAAATCTGACTTGTTGGGCTTTAATTATAATGTTAAAGGGAGAATCTGACTTGTTGTGCCTTTAATTGTAATGTTAAAGAGAGAATCTTACTTGTTGTGCCTTTAATTGTAATAACGACAGAATCTGACTTGTTGTACCTTTAATTATGTTAACGACAGACACTTGGTGTGTCTTTAATTAAAATGTTAGCGACAAAATGTAAACATTCTAGTCTAGACAATAAACATTAAACAATTTGAAGTTTATGACATGTTATTATGACAATTATGTCAACATTATCTAAGGTTTCAATAATTATTGTTATTGATTTGATGTTAGACTAAGAGTGAGCATTCCATTCGAGGAATGGTTTGGTTTTAAAGTGGGAATTATTATGTCTCGGTTATATTGTCCATTAGTATTAGTAATTATAAACACTATAGCGTTGACAATGACGGTACTAGATTTGGCGTAGGATTATATGAAAGTATTCTTCTTTTTATAGATAATTTTCGAAATGCTTAATCATCTCAAACGCTAATTCTGCTTTACGTAATGATCCTGTTGTACGAACAGCTCTAAAGATAATTTAAGAAATCTTCAGCGCTAATTATGGTTTACGCAATGTTAATGGTGTATGCAAAGCTCCAACGATAATTTACGAAATGCTTAATCCACCGAAACACCAATGTTACTTTGTTCGAAAAGCTCTAAAGATAATTTACGAAATGCTTAATCAACCTTAACGCTAAAGCTATATGTAATTTTTAAAAGATCACAAAGACCTCCTTTCAGCGTGAATATTCACATAAGTCGGCTTTATATTACTTATTTACCCGTTAACAAAGAATATATGCATATTTATAGGAGTGCAAGGTAACAATGTCGGGTATGTGGGTGTGTAGTGTGATTAAGTAAATATTTTATTTTAATATATATATATATAAATCATGTTATCTTTGAAGAAATATATCCAATAAATTTACGTCATCAGCCTACTCGTGAATGGTCTAAAGAAATATCTTGATGTTAGTTTGAATTAAAAAATAATAAAAAGATATATAAAATAATAAGTCCCAGTAGAGCCAACCAATATTTGCATTTGTTTTTATGTTATAATGTAACAATCCAAATTTAAATTTTTCAAAACAAAATCAATAATGTGTCTCAAGAAAGACAAATAAAACGAACCCTAAAACACTACGTATAATATAATAAAAACAAAGATTTTGGAAAACGGGAATTAAAACCATTTTTCGAACAAACTTTTTATAAAACTGTGCTTAAATTTAGTTCTTATGATAAGCTAATAACCAAAAACTGAACAGGATTTATTTTAGCATTTACACCCACTTTATCATATATTGTATTATCTTTCTGGCAAAACGCCCCCACAGACTGCAGTTTATGACATAACACAGTTTAAATTTTTGAAATATTTCACTTCTTTAAAGTAGTAGACTACTATCATGTTTTCTTCCCAATAAGGGGGGTTGGATGGCCGAATGGTTAGCACGTGCGCGCTGTATCATAAGGCCCGTCATTGAGTCAACTGGCGTGGTTTTGAATCCCCAAGTTGTACGTGACAAGGAGTAGGTTTGCCTGTCCAACCTCGTGGGTTTACTCCGGGTTCTCCAGTTTCCCCCACTGCTAAAGACCCCTACGCGCAAGCGATTTATCGAAATAAAATTAAACCATATGTTAGTCCCGAAATGACCTAGTTTGTGTCGAGTGGACGTTAAACCCCATTTCTCTCTCCCCCTCCCCCCTTTAAAATAAGTTTAATCAAACAAGATAATGAAATATCCTATTTGAAATAAGATCGATGCCTGGGGCAGATGAAAACTATTTAACATAGATAACAATAACTTCATTCAATATGACCTATTTGTATTTTGTTAGACATGGTCACATTCTGCACACAGAGATCCATCTACTTCATATTTCGAGAATAGATCTCTGCACTAAATGGCCGCCATATCCAAAAATTAGTATACTGTTTTGTAATGCGGTTCTACTCTGTTTCACATCTATCACATACACAAAGACCGAATAAACTTTTTCAATTGTATTAAATCGAAGCAGAATGAAATATTTATCCAAATTCTCGAATTATACTTAGTGTTTTCGACTATAATCGTCGATTTAGGAATTAAAATGTCGGTCAACTAGCTAAGCGTCTGTTCTCAAGCGGGGCTACCTGTAGACAGGTAGCCTATGTTTAGTATGACATAGTCAATGATTTTATTGGTTCATCAATCACCATGATTGTACAGCATATCCCGCTGTTTACATTTTTCTTTTTATTGTTCATACATCATTTAATTTTTGCCCCAGTTTTATTTCCCATTGGTTTTATGTTCATAACTCATGGTTGGTTACATTTTTCATTTCTTTAAAGAGAATAAATTTGTCAACTTTTTTTTAAAAACCTCACAAAACAGTAACACCCCTTTGTATACCATAAATATTACTTGGGTACTATACGTGGCATGTTGTTAAAAAAATCATTATTATATTTTTCATGTCCATAATTAAAGTATCTGTTTTAAACGACAAAAAAAAAAGCCGCTGTTTTATTTTGCCGAAGGGCGAGTTTTGATTAATACTAAATGCTTCAAGCTGTGATAGTAGCAGCACTTTGCCTTTCTGACTCCTCCGAGAAATCATTTGATGCTTAAAGCTCCTTAGTCTGTGAACGCCTGACGGACCAATCAGATGTATTTATCTTTATGAGGACCCAAAAGACTGTCAAATCGTTATACATGTTTGGTGGGGTACTTCAGATATAATTATCTTTACGAGGAGCTGAAAGTTTGTTAGATATAATAATTATCACCCAGCTAGAGATATATCACCCAATTGGATTTTATTTCGTTTCGTTTTTCATAGTTCAAAATTTCACTCTTCTAGGTGGAGGCCATCGAAAGTATAAAAATAGAAACGAAATATAGATCTGTATTTTAAACAGATAGGGATATCACCAAGTCTTCCTGTATTTCATAGCATAGATGAATATTACACAAAGGTTTTAAAAATGATACAGATCAACCAAATTATTCAAGCCAGCCACTTGGTATATCTGGGTAGATTAAACTGATGTCTAAACAAATTATAAACAAATTTATCCAATGAAAACTTATTTTACACCCGGACATGACGTTGAACGTGTTGCTTTGGCTGTTTTATTTTATTAGACTGTGACCGGAATGCTACTAATTATTTTTCCGATAGTTGTTATATTTCCCTTTTCTTTCTTTGCAGATTGAAAGTTACTGACAAGAGTTTAAAGTGTGTGACTGTATATACTATATAATAAGTCATTAAAATACCAATCAATATATAGACCAAACCATAATCACACAAAACATTGATTATTAGAACCCGAGTCGGTATGAAACGGTGCAGTTTGCGTGGAGACAAAACAAACACATGCAAATAATAACCCAGGAATAACACCATAATTCTACATAGTTTGCTTCAAAGCAGGTTAGAAATCGATAAACAGAGAACAAGGGTTAGAAACTGATACTGTTTGATAGGAGTTTTGTTTACCGTATATCCTAACCCATAATTTAATATTAATTCATATCTCCGAGACAAATTGTCCGGAGTTTGTGCATTCCAAGATGTCGGACACAGCTTCCATGTCGTCTGCTAATGAGTCTTCGCCGGATGACATCGTTGTTGTTGACGACGAGTTAACGATGCCCAGTGAATCGGATATCCAGGACGTTTTAAACAGCTTTAGCACCTCTGTGACTTTAGATCCAGATTTAGACATTTCACCGACAGATGATTTGAGTTTAAATTCGAGTTGTGTTGATAAGGATTCGGACTCCCTCGGTGCTAGTTCTAACGGTGCAAGTGGAGGGGTACCAGAAATCGAGGAAGACCTAACGACACCCACAAATAAATCATCAGAAACAAACGGAACATCGGAAGCCTTTTATTTTGGAACCGATCAAATTACACCTCAACCCAGCGAGGAAGGAAAGGATGGCACCAAAAGGAAGCTTAGCAGAAAAGGTTCGAAAGATTCTAGTCAAAAAGAAGTGAAAAAGTCGCGATCGCCATTGGAGATGCTGAAAAAGTTGACAAAATTTAGCAAACCGAAAAAACAATATCCGTCTGAATTCTCACAAGTCCGAATTGATCGACTACCTCAGGTTTTTGTTGTGAAGTATCTGGGAAAAAGAGAAATAAAAGGACTTTACGGTTTGCATCACGTGCGGAAACCCGTGGATGAACTAATGTCCAAATTGAAAAAGTCACTGGAGGCCAAGGAGAAAGTAGAACTTCCACTTGTCTATGTGGTGGTGTCGCCTAAAGGAATTGATATTCGGGAACATAAGTTAAATAAAGTCGAAGATGTTGCTCCGTACGGCAATGTTGCCATCGATTTCATCTCGTACGGTGTACAGGACATAAAATACTGGAGAATATTTGTATACATTGTCGTAAATGAGCTCTCCTCTAGAACGAAACAAACCGAACTCCACGCGGTGCTCTGTGATTCCGCACTTAATGCTCGCAGGATGGCATTGTCATTGGGTGGCGCTTTCAAACTGTACTCCAAAAATTTGTCAACCGAAGGCAAGGCACACAACTTCCAAGTGGAGTTACGTCCCCCAGATGAGCTTGCCGAAGCCTATGTCAAGGAATGTGATGCTTGAATTGTTTAAGTTTACTCGATGACTTTATATAAACATATATACAATATATCATAATGTATAGCGAATTATGTAAATGACTTCCATATATGACATTGTTCAGTGGCGGCGATCAAAATGAGGAACCTAATACGGGACTAATGCTTGATATTGCATTCGAATAACATCGTTATGGATCACATTATAGAGCTGTTGGCCATGGTATTCTCCGTTTGTGCAGCATTATAAAATACGGAAGTGAAAACAAACAACCAGATAAGTGTGACAAGAAGGTTCGCGTACATCAAAAGTCACAGGACAAGTATAACTTCAATATGGCGACGATTACACACAAGATTACTATCGAGATAGTGAAATAATGTTCGATATTGATTTGTGATTTATTGCAGCGATATGGATTTATGGAAATGAAATGAAATGAAATGGGGTTTAACGTCCTACTGTTCTGCTCCTATACTGGGCTAATGAAGACGGGCATACGCCATACAGTGTGCTATGAGGGAAATTTTGCCCGGGCAGCGGCACTATCGCCTACTCTTATATCGAATTCCAACTGCCAAGGGATCTTTTACGTGCATTCCAATGTTTACACGGGACCACGGTTTTTCGTCTCATCCGAAGGACTAGACAACTTTCCTTGTCAGCCCCTCTGTCCTGCATCAACGGATTTATGGTGATTTTAGTATCGGATTGATATTAATAATATGTTATTTTATCAAAACTTATACTCCTATAGATAAATGCAATCTAGATAGGTTAATATTATAAGTCTTGGTTTATACTGATATAGGTCAGGAGAATTCAATGCCATCCAGTGTAAATGCTAACCATGCTAAGTTATCAGGACATTATTTGTACCACGAACTTTATCTAAAACAGTCTTTTATCGACAGACGATTGTAGCTAGTTCTGCCAATCACAGCACTCGTTACTGATCGAGACTATTGACCCAACTTTTATTGGTATTCGATAACTGGTGTTTAACCCAGTGTCCACCAGCTAATTTCATTAAGAAATTAAGTATAATGTTATAATACTCTGACATTGTTAAGCTGGTTACCTATACAGCAATAATGTTATCGCAACCACTTTCAACCTTAAACCACATGGTATTACATATCCTTTTTAAATTGTCGTGCTCTAGCAAAAAATATATTAAAGAAATCGGGCTATAATTTAAAAAAAATCAATCTGCTTTTATTTAGCTATTTAATTCACTCTTTGTGTCCTAACCAGGTGACTTAACCCCAAGCATTATTGATTAAGAGACAATTATCTTTCCTAAGATGTCCCTTTAAATTATCAAGAATAATATCAGGCCATTTTAACGCGCCGGCAATAAATACTTGCATTTATTTGTTCCTTAAGAAGAATTTTACAAACATAAATTCACTTGACCCGTGTTATACTGTGATGAATAGAGTGACAATGAAAACGTTTTTGTGTGGTTACCGGGCCATCCAAAACTTAAGCAAATGTTGACATTGTTTTGAAGTGAACCAGAAGCCTCCAACAGAAGTAAATACTAATGTATGTGTTAAATTAAACTCCATAGGACAAATACAATTTAATGACAGTCTTATGTTCCATTTATAGACCAAATACAAACCAAGTTAACCTTTATACACATGGTACCTCAAATGTCAGAACCGGGACAGTTAAAGTCTGGACAAAATAAAATATACGTTTACAAAATAACCACAAAGTTCATTCGCAGACATTCGAAATTGTCGGAAGAGATGATTTGGTAATTCCGTGATGAAGTCAATACGGAAATTTTGCCCGAACAGCGGCGCTACGGCCTTCTCTTATATGGCAAGGGGTCTTTCACGTGCACGCCAATGTGTGCATGAGACCTCGGTTTTTCGTCCCATCCGAACGACTAGAGTGATGTCCTTGTGAGGACCTCTGTCCTGCACCAATGACAGTGGGGAAACCACGCCGGAAAATTCCAATGAACTTTCTCGGCCAACGCCGCAATAACATTAAAAATACCCCAAATATTCTTTTAAAAAGTTTTAACAACAGCAACAGATACTTGCACTATCCGGTTAACATATATTTATCCGCCTTATGTAATGTGTCAAAATTTGTCTACTGTGGGCCAAAGTTTACATAAACTGACAAATATATCACCTCTTACATATGATCGATTAATTAAAGTTTTAACAAGGGAGGTTATCGATTTTCAAAAAATATAATGAAACCTAATTAAACCTCCCAGACACACATCACATTTTACGAAGGTGTTCTTATTAAGTGTATTGGATATATTTACGAGAAATTGTTATGCCTTAAAGTAATATCAAATAAACATAATAATTATAATGTCTAATATATGCAGTTGTATAAGTATGAATAAAATGTATTACAAATAACCATGAAATGATTTTGCTTTTTGAAAATTGCAGATATAGTTAATATACTAAGCCAATTGCGATGCCGCCTTCTCGTGGGTTTATGAAATGATCATCATTGAATTGGGTTTGTAGAATTGTTCAGTCAGCATTTAAATGAAGTACGAAGCACTTACGACTCATGTTCCCCCGGCATGACTATATGAAATGATTCCCTAGATGTATTTAGTATTATAAGATCGAAGCCCATAAATATTAAATTTGGGATGTTGAAAGATAAGGACCAAGTACAGAACCTTGAGGTACTCCATATATAACAATACTGACTTGTTACTTGCCGGGGAAGATGATGTGAATTACATGTCGAAACCACCACGGTCTACTGTCTATCACCTTTAAAAGAAGGTTGATATCGCGTCATTGCTTCGGGAACATGACTGTCTATTGGCGTGTTGTTAACGCTATAATAATTAAGCCAGTCTCCAATAAAACACTCGGGATTATTGTGGGGTATGAGACTTAATTGTCACGCTATTAACAATTATACATGTCACTATTTAGCCTCGCCCCCACCGCCGGTTTCATTTTATAAGCTACTTACACGCGTAACCTTGTGGGGAATTGGGTTTATAATACAGCATTCCAGACAATTTTGTCAAAGAATACTATTGTTACATCTACCCATTGTTGTGGGTATTACTAGAGATGAAGACGTCATTCTACATACCTTTATCTCTCACCTGTAGTTATTACGAATTATCCAGACTCAAATAGCTCATTACTTCAATGTTATGTAGACTTTAAGACTGGGTTATACTTCCTAAAAATTCATTGAAGCAGGAAATACATTATAACTAATTGCTGAATGGTGGATCAATTTTGTTGCCTTTTAGTAACAAAACAATTAACGCGTTACTGTAATTACTGGTTAGAAGGTCTAAATTACACCCCTGGTTACTGAATGGAAAATTTTCAGTTATTCCATTGTGTGATGGGTTGTCTGTCGTCAATGTTTTTCTGTTCTGTTTTATTCATAAGTACGAAAAACGAAAATATTTGAAAAAATATTTGTGAAGAAAAGTCTAGACTCATTATATCTTAGATAGAGCGTGGCCGAGTGGTCGAACGCGTGTGCCTCAGAGAGAGAGAGAGAGAGAGAGGGAGAAATGGGGTTTAACGTCCACTCGACACAAACTAGGTCATTTCAGGACTATCATATGGTTTAATTTTATTTCAATAATTCGCTTGCGCATAGGGGTCTTTAGCAGTAGGAGGAAACCGGAGGACCCGGAGAAAAACCCACGAGGTTGGACAGGCGACCCTACTCCTTGTCACGTACAACCGGGGATTCGAAAGTGTGTGCTTCAGATTATAAGGTATGCCCAATAGAGACAAAGGTATTGAATAAAAAGTGACCAAAAAGGACAGATAATCCTGCACGTCATATTTGTATGAAATCTTTTAAATTTTGGATCTGATATGTAAAGAAATCAGCGCATTAAGTCTATTTAAATGTATCAAGATGCATTAACATCGAGATATAGTTCGAGTTATTCAAGTGGTTTCCGTCGATAATCTTTCAGTAAACAGAAATGTGTATGTTTAGACTCCGTATCAGATTCTTTAAGTTCGACGAATAGAATAAAATCTACTGTTATCGGGGTCACTTGACCAAATTTCTGGTAGATGAAAGAGGATCGACACCTATATATTGTAGACCAGTCAACAATATATCGAGTTGCCTGTATAGATGTTTTTTTTATTAAGATAAACAGTCATGCCCTGACTACAATAACAGTATGTCATTGAATACTGTTAAGGTAAATGAGAATATAGGTATTTTGTTATATGTATGGGTCGCCACGTCTATTTCAAGTATTTTATGTTGGTGCTATTTTAAAAGAGTATTTAGTCCTAGAGTGTCATCTATTCACCCAATATTTTCGTGCTACCGTTAGTTTTAATATATTCGCCATTATTTCTTTTTCGTCGTTTGAGCTCAACATCAAAAGTATAACTATTTCTTTTCGGATTTGTTTTGCGCTTTCGAAATTTTAATCCACTTGATCTAAATGTTAAAGGCTACCCGAAGATTTCGTCAAGGTCAGGAGATGTAAACAGAGCTAGCGCTAACCATAACCCTAACCCTAGCCCAAATCCTTACCTTAACCCTTACATGACCATGACGAAATCTTCAGGTGGCCTTAATATTTAGACCTTAGACCTGCAGACGGTTGGAGATTCTTGGTGGGATTGCTGAGACTGCATTGATTGACCACCTCTGTTACTACAGGATATGGGTCTTGGTTCCCTGATTCAAACCCCTCTCCACCCCACACCCCACGGGGCTCCCCTTATATGATTTACTTCTCAGATTTCACCATTCATAAATATTGCTAAAATCCACAATGTGATAGTCATTCGAAAATGAAATGTTTGGAATTTAATATATCCGAAATGAAGTTTTGAAATATTTCTGCTTCTGTATCCCCCCCACCCCCTTTCAGATTTTGAGACATATTTATCTTCCTTTAGTTCACTTCATAAAGTTATTCGATCGATTCTGATCTCTCGAGTCTCTTAGATACCCTTTGTACTTTATGCATACCAACTATAATTAATTTTTAATCGCCATAAGGAATTGTAATGATTATTCATCGGGTGTAAGTGAACTTCCAAATTAAATTAGAAATACCAATAAACTACATTTTAAATTTGTTTTTACCGAGCAACTATCTGGATTCAAACTGTGATAATGGCTAGTTTCAATGCCAATGCACAGTATGGGTGGTTCGTAAACACCATATGCATTTCGTTTCGTTGTTTGATGGGTTTACAACTTGAAAGAAACCATTTTAAAATGAGACACGTTGAGCATGTATATATAATTGAAACGTGTCTGTTTTAAATCATTCAGGTGGGACAAACAAAATGTGAACAATGCTATCCCAGTTAACATAATCAAAATGAGGATTGTGTTATCAAACACAGCGGCACCCGAGTGTCTCGGGTTAAGATTGAGGGTTAACTGTTCTTTCATTGGTTTGGCTTAACGTCTGCTTCCATCAAGGATGTTTCCAGTGAAACTCGCCAGAAAAACTTATAATGCTAGGAAGAGACTGGGAGGACGAGAAAGGATTTCTTTTCTTCCATTCACTGGTTTAAAGGTGATATCATGCCTTTTGAGATGTTACAGGGATACAGATACAGGGTTAGCCGTGTAGGATTGGGGTAATTATACACATTGCCGGATTGGTGGGCCCAAGGCCCACCTGTCAGGTCATTGACCAAGGCCCACACAAGTACGCGCAAACCCATTTTCCAAGCATTTCAGACCAAAGCAGAAGAAGGCAAATTTTTTATTTCCTGATACAATTAGATAACAGAATGACCTAAGAACACTATCATTAGATGTATTTGAGAATTCTAGTACACTTCTTTTTTGTGTTGTTTGTCAGTCACTTTTTTCCTATCTTTTCTTTCTCCTGTCCTCTCCTTCCTTCTTTCTTTCCCCCCCCCCTCTCCTTTCTTTCTCTTTTCTTTTTTTCTTTCTCTTTTTTCTATAGGCTTAGACCCACTTTTTTTTAAAAAAATGGACAGGTGGACAGGTGGGCCCAGTCCGGCACTGATTATACACTACAGTATAGGGTCTTCCGTTTAAAAGGGGCACGGTTTATCTCATTGGGTGATTTGAGGCGGAATGACCCTGTAGCAACCAACCATAAACCTGCGTTTATTTGAATTGAACTGACCCCTGACCTCATCCTAGAATTGGGGAGATGCCTTGTTTAGGAATGATTTTGATCCCCCGCAATGATTTAGGGTTAACTGTTCGGGTTAGGGTTGGGTTTAGAGTTGTTTCAACATAACCCAATAAAAGCAACCTCATGGTCCTTTTTATTCTGTTATGGTATAATTGTATTCCGTGACCATAACAGTTTAGATTTTAGACACCAAGATTACGATCCTGAGAGAATTAGAAGCTGGGATATACATGTAGGTTCTTCCATAGCGAATAGCTTGAAGATCCAAGATGGCCGCCATAATATATTTGGAGGAAGTGGTGCCAATCATAAATGGAAAGTCAAGCAATGGATAGTAACACCTGGGGAAAATGTAGCGCTTTTGTCCGGAGAGAATTTGAAGCTGAGAAAAACATGTAGGTTTTCCCATAGCGGATAGCTTGAAGATCCACGATGGCCGCAATAATATATTTGGAAGAAGTGGTGCCAATCATAAATGGAAAGTCAACCAATGGGTAATAACATATGGGGAAATGTAGCGCGTTTGTCCGGAACGTTGACACCCACTTGGTAAACTGTCTGACTTTTTAAAAGACAAATACTAATCACGAAACCTACTCAAAATTTGCTTGAAGAAAAATACACACATATATTTGTTACTTTTAGCTTGAAACTGTTAAGTAGACGATAAGTTGTAATGTTCAAAGGAAAATTGTTTTAAGGAAGGGCAGGTAAAGATTTTGAATAGTGTTTATGAAGACAAAACTAATAAGTAGTTTGAACAGGGGATAATGGTTAACTACATTCTATATATCTGCTAAAAACTTGAAATTCTTTTCTTTAACAAATATAAGCGTTAAATAGTTGAACACTTAAATCTACTTATACTCTTTTCTGTGTTTAAAAAAATATCCCATGTTTGAACAGTTGAATTCAGACTTGAATGTACCCAAGTTGAACCAACATATCAAATCTCCCGGTTTGGATTCGACCGGATTAATAATGGGTCCATCGCATATATTTTACAAACAAACTTATAGGTGATACTGGTTTGTGTTTATGCAGAGTATGTCGAATGTTGGGAAATTTTCAATTTATCATATCTTTTTAAATACTGAATGGAATCGAACCGTTTTGAATCTAATATTCCTTTCAGATATTCAACGTTCACATTACTGTAGTTTGCAATGGGTTCAGAAACCTTCAAATGACGGTTTGTGGCTTAAAGGGACACGTTATCTTAATGTTCCCAGTTTATTTCTGTTGAATTTAAAGTACTATACATGAATTAAATCGGCCAGTAGACCGGCTAAAAGTGACAAGTGGTTTGTCAGGGTGTTGGTTGTGGAAGGGGGCGTGACTTTTTTGTAAACAATATTTTATTTCAGGAATTTATGAAAAGGGATCAGGGAACAGGCAAAGCCTATATCACCCCTCTCCTGGGACATGACTTATACTGCATTAGTTTGATAGTGTAAGCCAGTTGTATCAATATACAATTCAATACAAAAAAAACCGCACCCTTCATTGTCCCGTGGTGTAATAAATAGTTTCACATTCTTAAAATATTGATTAAGAATATAAACTGGTTGTAATTGTTATAGGTTGATATAGACAGACATTCCAACTCGGTTGATTTATACGTTTAACCACAGCTCTTATTATACTCAGCACGACTCCAATCTCACACATACTGATGGTGGTGGTTGGCTTCTTTCCCTCGTATAAAACAAATCAGTACCTATTGTATTTTATCAAGCAACGTTAACTAAAAATAATCATTTATTTTCGTTTCATTTTTGAATCAAACGTAGAGAATGGATGGTGGACTGAGTCTGCGTCACAATCGCTAATAATGACCCATTTTAAAGGGCGCCTTGCTCTATTATTTGAAACCTTAAAATAGACGAGAATCGGTCAAAAGGCACATTTGAATATTATAAGAATGTATATAAAATGATTTATATTCACTTTTTAAATTAAATTATTGTATTTTCTAATCAATTCTGTTCTGTAATATATGTGAATAGAGCAAATTGAACGACATTCGTTTACGAGCACCCAGTCCAGACTATACATTTTTTTATTATTAATTTGTCGTTTGCGAATCGGCTATTACTAAATACTGCCGAATTGTCTTATAGGATAAGTTTTAATTTGTTCATGACTAATGGCGTCCTGAACCAAAGAATACACGACTCGTGTACTGATTATATTATGTCCATTGTGTCTTAACCTCAATTTTTGACTTTTCGGTGGCAATAACCACTCTCCCTTAACAATAAATGTAGAACGTCCCCTAGAATATTAAATATATTATAGAATGATATACAGTACACATGTATAATACCTTACTCTATATTCTACACAATATTAACAATTTATACACAAAAGACTGTATAAATAGGCTTTGACCCATCGGCCTATTTCTACATACCCAGCACACTTTAACATTATGGAGCTTTATTGTTCCCATCAGCGACATGTTAAAATATGGAGTATATATGAATATTATTAGTAAACCCCCTATAGCTAAGCAAAAATGATTTATTGTTATTTTTGTTTAGACGGCAAAAAAGGTGAATAATTTTGCCTTTATCATCACATCCTGATGTCAATCAACATGTCCATTACCATATAAACAAAGATATTATTATTGAAAGGGAACTTTTAAAGTTTATACCATGGTGCGTAAAATTATGTACTTATCGCTTTATTGCATCTTTACCCTTTCTGTTTTAGATTTGTGCCAATTCCATTCAATCCAGACTGGAGGTCCCGTCTTGGCGGAGAAACACCAATGGGACTAACATATGGTTCAATATTTTACGCTTGCGCGTAGGGATCTTTAGCAGTGGGAGGTTGGACAGGCGACCATACTCCTTGTCACGTACAACCAGGGAATCGAAACCACATTAGCTGACTCAATGACAGACCTTATGATACAACGCGTACGCGCTAACTATTCGGCCATCGAACCCCCCTGTACACATTGGCGTACAGGTAAAAGAAATGAAATGAAATGGCGTTTAAAAACGTCCTACTGTTATGCTCCAACCGGGCTAAAGAAGACAGGCATCCGAACTTCATTAGCCCAGTCGGTACACAAGAGTAAGACGTTAAACACCATTTCATTTCCTTTTTAGAATTACCTCATTAAGTGGGTTGTCTCTTTATGATTTGTGACACATTAATTCAGTCCAGACTGTTATATATCGTGTACATGTTTAACTCTTAGTACCGTTATATCTATCTTTTATCAAAACCAATGCGAATACGTTAGAAAGCGAGTGTGCCATACAGAAAATATGTTTTGTCTATAGGACAATATGACAATCTTATTAAGAACTTATTAAGAGTTCAGCTTTCTTTGCCTGCCTAACAAAGCAAGGGGGGTAACTCTCTAAATCGGTTGGTCTCAGACTAGTAATTCTTTCCCACTGTCACGCTACGATTGAAATCGTAGTTTTAATCGTGGAGTAATCGTGGTGATCCTATCAGGTCTTATACTATAGGGACAATCCTGTCGTAACGCATCGCACGACAGTGGGAACCTAGCGTAAAACAATGATATTTTGAACATCCCGATCATCTTAATCTTTACAACTACAAAGGGCCCAACATCTGAACGGGGTTGACAGTTTTAATTTGTCCCGAGGCTTGGTCAAAGGTATCTATATGCAGTGACGTTGTTTTAGAGCCAATTACTCCAATTCATGTCTTATGTCTTCTTACTTCATGATCCTTCCGCCTCAAAATCGTGAACACTCGTCTTCTATTCTAGACCAAAATGTCAAAAATAAATTGACATGCAAAAAGGAGGGGGGGGGGTGTGCTATAAATAAACGCACTGGGATCAGGGGAAGCAATTACTAGTTTTTCAATAATTTTGTTTTTTGAGACTATGTTTGCACAATTTCCCATTCTACGTTAGAAAACGGTTATTAAATAGCTGAGCAGACCGACCATCAACAGAGAAAAGGTAAGTAATAAGAAACCCATCTTCAATAGAAGGCTTGATCTCGCCTTAACTACGTACATCTTATCAAGCCCATCACGTAATACCCCGCATATTTTAGCACTAATTTCGATTGGGTATAAGCCCAACTTGTGATCCTATCAGATTCCTTCGTTAAAAATATGGTTACGATTATCAAGTCTCGCGCTTCTAGCTCAAATTTCTACATGTGACAATCGAGTTGCAAAGTTCAAGGTTCGATCAATGTCAAGGTTGCTGGAAATTTATGGTTGATCAAAAAAAGGCTGTAAACTTGTCTATTTCTTTTTCTATGGAGGCCGCCATATTTGTTTACAGTGTTTTATGTGCCACGACCTCTGATTGGACAATGCTAATTAGTCACGTGTAAACACAACGAGCGCAAAAATTCAGGAATTGTTGAGTATTGAAGCAACGGCTAGATGTTGTAAAACTCGCGGTCGTTGCTTCAGGAACATGTAAGAAACCATATTAAATAGGTGAGTATAAGAAACAAATTAATAACAATATTATTTATTCAATAACATAATAATGCCGTAAGGATGAATACATTGAGCAACTTTCTGCGATTCTCTATATATTCTACGATGTAAATGATCAACCAAGAAAAGCAATTTAAAATATTTTAAAGGTGCATTATGTAAGAGCTAAATCTGCCTCTTGCAGGTCTTTATTTCGGCTTCAAATGTCATATTAACTATTATTTCAACGTTTATTAACATGACAAGCCAATAATCAAGGCTCTAGACCATCGGATGGTGGGGATTTAAACAGATTAAAACACGGTCGCCATTTAATGATTTAAATAAAAAACGGCGGCGAATCGAGGCAAAGTCTTGAATAACAAGTACCATTGTTACGATAATAAACTATCCATCCACATTGTCAAGGAGTGATAACTTCGCTCAGAATAAAGTAATTTGAATTAAATTGATTCTGCATTATCTATTTTGAACTATTATAGAAGAACGACCAACTCTTTATCTAAATCTTACATAATGCGTCTTTAACTAAATGCGTTTTAAATTCGATTTAATTTTAGGAAATATAGGACTTTGCCATGTATTTTAAAAATAATTAACAATCAAATGGATGATCGAGACTTAGTCTCCTTTATCAAGCACTGTTGCTACGATAATAAACAATCTACGCTACATCTTCCAACGCTCATAACTTTTCTCAAATTAAAATAATATGATTGAAATATTTGTCATTATCTATTTTTGAACAATATTTGTCATTATCTATTTTTGAACAATATTTGTCATTATCTATTTTTGAACAATATTATAGCAAGAATTGACAGCTCTTTATCTATATTTTACATAATGTGTCTTTAACCTTCGTTATACGGTTGGCAATACTCATAAGAAGGCAATACTCATAGTCTGATAAATGGATCTAATATTTAAAAAACACTATTATATACACTAATCTATACAAATAAAACATTACAAAATTACCCAACCATCATATCAAATATAAATTTTATAATTTTTTTATTTAGATGTAATTGATATCCGGATCCTTGGAGGGCAAAACTGTCAGAATCGTGCCATATGGTAAAAGAAAACAATAAAGGCTCCCGAGACTGCTCCATACTGATAATATACAGAATATGACACGGACCTGTCAATCAATACAACACAGACCTGTCAATCAATACAAAACAGAACTTTCAATCCATTGCTGAGATATAGACTTTTAACTTTAAATTTAGAGTCATATAAATGTTTATTAGTTTGCAATAAACATACATTACATTCGTATGTCAATTGCAAACAATCTACACACATCATCTCATATCACAATTATTAAAAATACAGTATGACGATAAATTTCAAAACTTTATCATTAATCAATAATTACTAGTATGACTAGTTATGAGAAGGCCTGGCACCAAAACACAGTGATTATTTGTCATTAGAATTGAGCTTTATTATGTTATGTCAAAAACCAAGTCCGAACAATTAAAGATCGTTGCCCAATCTGTCTATTTCATAAACAACGAAGTCCATTTCTGCCGTCGTCACGTCTAAATTAGAGACAATCATTCTGAAGAAATTCACCCGATTTCCTTCCGGTTGGTAACCAATCAACATCGTACCCTGTTCTGTCATGCGCTGTTTAATCGTTGGTGCTACCTGAAATGATGATTAAATTGCTGTAACAAATTGGTGGTTTTAAATGGGCCAGATAGCAGAAAGGAGTTCGATTCTGTAAGTGTAATGGAATGAAACGAAATGGTGTTTATTAACGCCCTACTTTTATGCAATGACTGAGTTAACGAAGACGTGCACGCCAATGTGTACACAAGGGCAGCGGTATTTCGACTCATTCAAACGACCGGTAAAGTTTACCATAAACTGAAACTACAACGCTCTTTAACGTCATAAAAACAACTTTGGTATGCGAATTACGTAATAAATTTGTCGTCTGCTTCATTGAAATCATATATATACATGGTTAATTTAGATGCATTTGACATGTCCCCTATACACATATATATAAAATGTGCCAACAGATAAAAAAAAACGCAGACACATACAAACTAACTGAATAATTGTGAGAGCGCCCGATCTTAAAGTAGCCTGTGTGTTTGTAGTCTATTGTTTACTAATTGGCAAATAAATAAAGTGGTTTCAGGGTAGAAGCGAAATTTTCTATAGCATTCTTAATTTCTTCTGGGGAAGGATTTTCTCTGTCTCTTTGGTATCAAAAGGTGTCGAAAATGCCTTCGAATAACTCAACGGTCAGCCATCTTTTTGAAGCAGAAACAGACTTAAGGTTGGTAAGCAAGCCCTATACCTTGCTTGGGACTTGTGCTAAGATTGACTATGTTTAAGAACGAAGTTGTGCTTAAGTTTTTTCTTGGAACACATAATAACGTTCTTGTGCTTACAATGAAGTCTACTTAAAATCTAAGCACAAGAACGTTCTTAAGAATTTTCTGGGAACACAAAATAAGGTAAGTTTACTTAAATGCAAAGTCTACTAAAATCTAAGCACAAGAACGTGCTTAAGAATTTTCTGGGAATGGGGCCCTGGATGCCATCCTTATGGCTTGAATTTCATTACACATGGCATTAGAGCATAAGTAAAATAATGGAATTAATTACCTTAGAGAGTTTATCCCACCAAGCTTTATCTTCTGTCTGTCCTCTCATACTAGGTGGTATATACCAGAACCCGACATTAGTACATTGAGGCTGAAATAATCATAACGAGGTATATAAAAACATGGAGGTAAATACACTCCAAGGGCCGATAATTCCAGGGATTATTTTCGATCTTTTGTTTGTTTTGCAAATGCTAGGTTCTCACTGTCATGCGTTGTGTGACGATAGGGTTGTCCCTATTGTGTCTACGATCTGGTACGTGCAGATACGTTCGGATATGTTTTGATATGATCAACACGATTGCTACAACTGACCTCAATATATGATAAGACCTGATAGGATCATCACGATTACTCCACGATTAAAACCACGATTTCAATCGTGGCGCGAATCGTGATAGTGGGAAGCTAGCATAAGCAAAGGTGGTATCTTTTATCACGGCGGAAATGCAGAATTTCATATAGCCCTTTCTTGAATTGAGTAATGAAACTGCACTTAACAACGAAAAACTCTCACTATAGTCACATGAAAGCCGGAAGTACCGTCAATATCAATGTGCAAACATGCTGTTAATAAAGAGTTTGTTCTTTAAAATGGAACCTTGATTTCATAAATAATAATATTCATTTCTTGTGTTTTATAATTTATAATGAACAAACTAACCTTGTCTAGAACAAGTCTAAAACCTTCTGTATCACGTAGTCGGTTCGTCAAATATCTAGAAAAGAATAAAAACTACAGTGCATAGAGGCAGACGGTATGTTCAGGTTTGAAACCTAAAATATTCAAAACGACCACAATAAATCCACACTCGTAATATCTACTGGTTAATACGATAGAATTCCTTTCTTTTTTCCCTTGGTATAAGCTATATGCTAATCAAGCCATACTTGTAATATTTGTTGGTTAATCTATAATAGTATTTTAAACATTCCGATCTGCTGAATGTTTCCCAGAGTACCATTTCTCGCCTTTGCGATACGTACCGACAGCGAGGTTCAACACGTGAACGCCCATAAGCTCAGGGCAAGCAAGAGTGACCCCACCTGCCCTGGATCGGCATATCCGGTTACGTCATTTAAGGAAACGGTTCACAACAGCGACCTCTACTGCAGTAGCAATTCCTAGACGGCGTAGGATCTCAGACCATACAGTCCATAAACGCCTACGTAAAACCGGATTACGAGCCAGACGTCGAGGTTGAGCTGTTATTTTGAAATACGCCACCGACACCGTCAAAACCGACTTCAATGGGTTCAGACACGCAGGGTATGGCCACAGCTGGAGAACAATTTGGTTCAACGACGAGTCGCGGTTCCAGCTGCACCGAGGCGATGTTAGAACGAGGGTATATCGACGACGAAACGCCACTATGCGTTTCTTTTTTTGAAGAGTATATAGGCCTATCACAGTCCGGGAAACAATCAGGGCCTCTACTTACTCGGCGCAATGGAAGATATTGTTGATATCTTTCTCGTATTGTTCATCTCCTTTAGCTTTCCACATCATCCATACTTTTAATACGTCAATCTTTCTACCACACTGTATGGACTTATCACCGGTATCATAAGTCACATCATAGAACTTATCTTGTTGAAATAAATATTTAGCATGTGCTGAATGACATTCTGCTAGTAGAGTCTATGAAACAAATAAATAGAACAAAAATATATTTAGACGTGCTTGGGTCTATAAAATAAATAAAATGCAAGATGATGTTAGCAAATATTAAAATATCGTTCTAAACGCAATCCAAGTTTGGGCAAAATCGAGTCACATAAAGTGATAATTGTTAACTATATAACCAACAGTCATTATAGATGTTTTAGATAAAGAACTGACTGTTCTTACTAAATTTATAATAGTAATAGGCATTGATAAATCAATATATTGAATACTTCACTCAAAATAATTTATTCTGGGCAAAGTTAAGAGTGTTTGAAGGTTTGACACGATAGTCCCGATTGTCAAGTACATCGATTTTATCGTTTAATTATTAAATATTGAGAGTTCTAATCTATTCAATATAATAAGACACCCGATGGCCTAGAGAGTTGATTATGGGCTTGTTGTGTGAATAGGTGTCCAAATATTAATTTATGTAAATAGGCAGATTTAGCTTTTTTTTTAAAACCAGATTTTCAAGATTGTGATCGTGATTATGATCTATGTTTATGTGTTACATAATATGGCTATAGTAGCGGTAGCCATCTTTCTGAAACTCAGCGCGAGTAACCTTATCTGACTTATTAGTAGGACTGAATGTATCATTACAACTGATATAGATTAAAAGTAATAGAATTAAAATTAAAAGTGGATTAATAGCTAGTGGCAAATGTCAATGTCTACAATAAGAAAGATGAAGAGAAACATCACCATTTTACATTAATATTTTTGTTTTTCACTTAAAGGGGCCTAATGGGAGATTATATAAAGAGTTGACAGTTCTCACTATAATAGTTAAAAATAGATAACGTAAATAGAATATGCTGAAAATGGCTCCACTCTGAACCGAGATATTAGCTTTTGAATTTTAGGCTAGCCTCGAAGATCATTACGAAAGTAGATACGATAAAAACAAAGCCTTGATTATCCATTTTTACGTTTAATCATCCTTAATAAAATGTATTCCAATCCGCTAAATATCGAAGGCTAGCGATGGCATCGAGAGTTGATTATTGTCTGGATAACTTAATTAATGTCTAATTAATAATTTAGATAACATTTCAGGCTCTTGCATAATGTATGTTTAATATCACTTGATTTAATACTATTTACCCAAAACAAATTTCCCCGAGTAGTAAATCCTCGTTTGAACACACATAACCGATTAATATAGGACTTTATCCCTGGATACTAAATCCAGGATTAAAGGATTAGATCAGATGATTAGTAGATATTAGAAAACACAAATGTACAAAAATATATGCATTATAAAATTATGTCAATGTATGGTGGTTACAAGAGTAGCGGTATACCATTATTGTATACCGTTTATACCTTATGTCTGGTCAGGAAGGCCGCAGCTTGTAGGGGCGCTCCCATCATTTTATGCGGATTCCAGGTGACGGAGTCGACTCTGAAACACATTTAAATCATTCTCAAATCAAGTCCAAGAAGATATAGATTTAGATTTTTATTTTTAAAGGAACTTAATTATCCCAGTTGTCTTTTTATTTGCCAATTAAAGCTTTCTTTATTCTTAACATAGAAACAGTGCTCCGACACAATATTATGCACGATATTGATTGACTGACTGAGTAATTATGGACAGCACATGCCCCCAAAAGTGTAATATGATTATGATTACGAATATTCACAATGACATCCTAAAACATCGAGCTGTTTTTTTTAATTATTTATGTTGACTGTATTCTCTATCCAGAACATTATCAAAACCGCGTATTTCGCCCTCCACATTGTCTCAATCTTTTGACACTATCACTTTTACAATTTCATGATTGCCTATATTTCTATATTAAACTGGTGTTCCTTTAAACTTATTAGGAAAATAATTTCTATACTATCATGAAAACCTATATTAAAATGGTGTTTCTTTAAACTTTTTAGGAAAATATAATTTCTGTGCTATAATGATTACCTATATTTAGAATGATGTTTTCAGGTAACACACTATTATGGAATAACAATTACTCTGGTTTATTTCACTGTGACGTTTCAACAAGATTTCACAAGTGATTTTTGATTATATGCTTGATAAGGACTTGTGAAATCTTGTTGAAACGTCGCAGTGAAATAAACCAGAGTAATTGTTATTCCATACATAGTGTGTTATCTGATTATGTTCCAATTACTAAATGCCATTCAAAATATAATTTCTATGCTATCATATTTACCCATATTAAAATGATGTTTCCATAAACGTTGTTAGTAAAATAAAATTTCTATGCTATCATGAATACCTATACATTAAAATGACGTTTCTTTACACTTGTTAGGAAAATATATATACCGGAATATGTGTTTAGGACATTTTAATGTTTAAAAACAGTTTTACAGTACATTATTTTATCCCAGGAAGACAAGGTTAACCACAATAACCAAGATAATTAAGTGCCTTTAAAACAGTGACCTTATAGACAAATACAAACCTTTCAAGGCCAGCAATCAAATGTCGGTACTTCTTTGATAATAATACGCCTCCACCCCAAGCTGCATCCACATGCATCCAAATACCATGTTTCTGACAAATATCTGCTATAGCGTTTAGTGGATCGTAGGCGCCAAGAACAGTTGTCCCAGCCGTAGCGTTGACCATAATTGGAACACGACCCTAGGAGGATTCAATTAAAAAAATATAGACACATCCGAGAACCAAAATTAAAACAAGCCAGCAGTGAGGTTGATGGATGACACTTATTAATTCTACATCATCATAGTTACGTCCGTCAAAAACATGAGAGACGGCGAGGACATCCAGCTTCACCCCGAGCATGAACTTGTGTGTTATTTGCTCATATTCAATGTCGCTTTATTGTGGGTAGAATGGCTTCTTGATAGATTAGAGACTTTCGGTCAATTTTAAATTATTAGCACATATATCTTTATGTAAAGCATAAAGCAATCAAATTGACGATCTCAAATAGCCGACCAGAACATGCTTCTGATCGAACTTAATTATGGAAAGTCTTGAAATAAAGCATTACATAATCCAAAATGTTTTCAATAAATAAATTTACCTGTGCCGTAACATCTAGTATAGTAGATTCTAATTTCTCGGGTTTCATTCGACCAATCTCGTCAGTTTCTACCGGTATAATATTATCTATACCTAGACCCAACATCGCCGCTCCCTTCTTCATAGAATAATGACCCTACAACGAAATACGTAAAACAAATCTCTTCATTAAAGTGGCGGGAACCTCGCAATCAGGACATGGCATAAGAAGCCATGCGAATTTAAATCTAAACCATGATTCTACCTTGGATATTAACAAGACATCCAGCTATAAAAAAAGTAGCACTTCTGCCTTAAACCTCCCCATTCTATGAAGAAACTGTCCTGCTACTACAACTAGACATAAATGTTTAAGCAATGTTGACTAAGGTCGCTTTTAGGGCCTTCCGGGATTTGGATCCCCGATTAAGCATAGTAGATCCACCGCTGTTTAGACATGTGCAACCTAACATTTAGAATTGAAATGCTATTATTCCAACGTGTACATAGGACGTCGGTTTTTTGCAACAACCATGAGACTAGACGCTGTTTCTTGCCAGGCCCTCCGTCCTAAACCACGGAAGCCACGCCGGAAATATCCTAAGAAATTTCTCGGCCAACACCGAGATTGAACCCGGCAATTTTTGGTTAGCAAACCAGTGCCTTTCTCACCGAGTCACAGTAAGATATATCCCTAAGATATTGAACGTCTCGGCATGTGTTTTGAGAGTGAGACCAGGTTTAACTGGGTACGGTGTAAATAGGTCTTGATGAAGCAGACAGGTAGTATACTTTTTTTGTAAACAATATTTTTATTTAATTTGGAAATGGGTTAGGGAACAGGCTAGGCCTATGATGACCCCTCTTCATGAAGTATATAATTAAATCAGATTTAAAATCTCACCTTATCAGAAGTAAGTACGCAAAGATTAGGTAGACCCTGCATGCCTTTTGTTTTAACTTCAGGAAAAGAATTGAATCTGGCTAAATTTATACCATACATGTTAGATACAGAGCCACCTAAAATAGTTTTTGTTTTATATATACATTAGTCATTGTAAATTAATGATTGTTTGTCGTCAAAAGCTATGTGTTCAAATTATGTACTTATCTAATAAATCATTGATGTCCAATTTATTCACAGCAAGCCCAAATTGAGGCTGATGTTCCCTCCCCACCCTATTTCGGTACTAACATATGGCTCAATTTTATTTAAGTAAATCGCTTACGCGTAGGTTGGACCGGTGCACCTACTCTTTGTCACGTACAAGCGGATAATTAAAACCAGGACATATGACTTATGACAGACAATTGGTTTTCTCAATGTTATCAAGCAAATGATAATAAATATAATATACAGAAAGGCTTATATACAAAAACAATTAAGCAATTTTAAACATTACAATATATTTACCTGGACAGAAAATAGCATCACCATCCGGAAAACCGATTAGACTCAGCATCTTAGATAGAACTGTCTTCTCCATCAGCGTAAATACTGGAGCAACTTCATATGTATATCTGACAAAGACGAAAATACAGTCAGAATTGTCAGGATTCTTTCCCGCTGTTGGTCGAGAAAGTTCCTCGGAATTTTCCAGCGTGGTTTCCTCCTGTCTTATCCTAGTATGGACGCTGTTCATCACCAGACTCTCCGTCCTACACTGCACTGAGTAGGGCAAACCACATTGGAAAAAACCCGGGGAACTTTTTCGACAAATAGCGGGAACGAACTCGGTATCTCCTGGTTAGTGAATCAAAACCTTCCTCACTGAGTCACCGTGGCTCCCTATTGTAGTCATTGTAGTACTTTATGGTATAAATATTATTAATACTTACTTGCCTTTTGTAAATATAAGATTTATTTTTTTTATATTTTTGGAGAGAACGTATATATGCTTTTGCCTGTTGAATAAAATATTGTTTAAACTTACTGGCTAGAATTTAAGGCATCTGTCAACCAAGCACCAGCTAAACCATAAGAATCTACACCTGCCCATAGTTGGTTGAAAAAATGAGGATGACCTAAACAAACAAATAAAATATTGTACTCTTGGTGTAATCAATGCTATGAAAAATGGTGTCCAAACGAGCACTTCTCCCGCCCTTTTCATTTAGTTTGAATATTGATGACATACATTTGTTTCTATTCGTTTCACTTCTGCAATCTTTTTATAATTTATCGGAGTTACGGAATAATTGAGATGTAATTAATAGATACAAACTATTCAGAACATAAAAGTTATTCGTGGACCTTCGGCAGTAAACCAGCAGGGAATTGATCTCTCGACTAGGGCGTCCGGGTGCCAGTCTCGACATGGCCCCAGAAGAACCTTCAGGATTTTTCAAGCCTGGTGGTCCCTTTGGGACTGACCAACGATCGGATGGATCGAAAAGCCAAGGTTCACCCGTGTACACATTGGCAAGAACGTAAAACAACTCTTACCGGTTGGAATTCTGCACAGTTAACACCATACAAATAAAAACGACAAGATGTTAGTCGCAGAATGACGCAAGTATTGTGTTGAAGGGAGATAGAGATAAATGGGGTTTAACTCCACTCGCCACAAACTAGGTCATTTCGGGATTAACATATGGTTCAATTTTTATTTCAATAATTCGCTTGCGCGTAGGGGTCTTTAGCAGTGGAAGGAAACCGAAGGACCCGGATAAAACCCACGAGATTGGACAGGCGACCCTGCTCATTGTCAGTACAAACGAGGAATCGAAAGCTCGCCACTTGACTCAATGACCGACCGTCTGATCCAAGTTAACCATTCGCCCCCACCCGCTCCGGTGTTGAAGGGACATTAGACCATATTCCTTAGTTATTAAAGCAACGTTGTTTCATACTGGCCTGGCAACTGTGTCTGAGAAGATATTATTATGATATGATTTTACCTGTTTTTACACTATACTGTACGACTTGACGACATATATCTAATAATACTGGTTTAGATGTAGAGCTTTCAGGTATTTGTAGATCTAATATTTTCTCTAATTCATGTGGATGTTTCCAATCAATAACTTTACTAGATAGAACAAATACAATCGGTATTATAAATACTGGTTATATAGGACGTTATTATTCATTTTCCTTACAAGATATAATTTGAACAACAAACAAGAGCCAGGGTGTGCTTTATCGTCAATCAGTGGGTTGGGTTAGGCTATCAATATATTAATAATTTCTCAATGAGAAAATGTCTACACTTGTCGAGTCTTAACGCCTATCTTTTTACAAAATGTTGTTCAAGTGATCACAACAAACCGTTTAAATTTCCGCCTTTGAGTGGATTAGCACAAATCTATTTTGGAATCCTTTCAAAGCCTACCTGTGAGGATCCCTTCCATCTCTTAAAGCATCTTTTACCATAATCTCAAATATATCACGTAAAAACTGCTCATCTACAGTTTGACGCGGTACTGAAATTTAAAAAATAAAGCTTAAATTTAAAATAAAGCTTAAGTTTAAAATAAAGCTTAAATTTAAAATAAAGCTTAAATAAGGTTTAGGGCAAACAACAGATTTGGACTGTCTCCCTGAAAAAAGTATAATTCGATCATTGTGTGAACCGAACTAACGGTTATGCCAATCGCATATCCTGCAAATACACAGGAAGTAGTTCTATGAATACATTTACTGTTTATTACTGAGCGACAAGGTAGCCACGGTGGCTCAGTGAGTAAGACGTTGGCTCGCTGAGTTGGAGGTCAAGTGTTTGATCCTGATGCAGGCCGGAGGAGGCCTTAGCATGGGAAAACGTTATAGTTGTCCACATGGAACGAAACTAGAGGTCGCGTGTACGCATTGGCGTGCACGTAAAAAAAAAAACGTTGGCAGTTGGAATTCGATATAAGAGTAGGCACAAGTGCATAGCATAATGGCGTATGCCCGTCTTCATTAGCCTAGCCGGGGCCGAACAGTTGGACGTTAAACCCCATTTCATTTTCCACCATAAAATTGCATTAAAGCTTGAGATTAAGACGCCTAGTCAGTTATACACAGTAAATGTGTTCCATAGAATCGCGTCATGTGTATCGCTGTTCCATTTAGTCAAAATTGAAGTTAGGGAATTACTCAGGTATATACTGGACTAGTTCTTAAAAACCGACCCGGGCAATAGGTCTGCCCATACTTCATTGATTGTTTTTCAACGGTATTTGAATCCTACTATCCAGGGGTGCATTTTGTACCTGGCAGTTCCAGCCCACAAGTATGGCTATAGTCCGCCCATGTGATACCACATTTATCTATTTGAATGTGAAATTGATTACCATACACATCATTATCTATAGTTTACCGGGCATGAGTCAATAATAACCTATTTAACATCAAAGAAATTAAATTGATGTATTTAATGTTTGACTCGCTGAATGTGAAATTTATTTTAAGATATTGTAATATACCTGGGTGGGTATTTATCACTGATATTATATTTATTGATTTCACGTAACGCTACGTACACAACAACAAAACGTTCACTGTAATAGGCTATATTTAGCATGTCTTTGAAGATAGGCTTTTTATGTCTGTCCTTGTATTTTAACTGTTTATTCGTAACCATGCTTTATGACGAGGAACAGAACAATTGACGAATAAAAAATAGTTAATTTTGTGGAGTCTATATTTCGTTTCACCGATATGATTATAGCACGTGGACAAACATTAATACACTATCGATATATAAATGAACAAATATTAAAGATACTTTATGCAAAATTTAGATTAAGAGCTGATAGTTCTCGCTATAATTGTTTAAAAGTGGATAGTGAAAAAGGAATATGTTAAACATTTCAGTCAAAATAACTTATTCTGGGGGAGGTTATAAATAGCGTAGTCTCGATTCACATTGCTGCCATTGTTAAGATAATAAACAAAGTTTCGATTATCCATTTTTAAATTAAATCATCAAATGGCGACCGTGTTTCAATCCATTAAAATCACGACTATCTGATGGTCTAGAGAGATGGGCTTGGCATATGAATAAATGTCTAAATAATAAGTTATGTAACATATAATAATAGGCAGATTTAGTTCTTACAAAAAGCATCTTTAATACCGACGTGACATATTAATAACCATTTCCATGGGATCTAAATATGAACAAGATATTTAGAAACCGTGGCCTTCTTCAGGGTAGAAAAAACAAATCCGTGATTACTATCCTATGTCAACTAAAAGATTTATTTTGTTTTAAAAAACCAAATAAAATCAACTATTTACCTTTCCCCGAAGCTTGTGATGTACCGTTAATAACATCGGCTGTATTGTTTGTTGACGACATCGTGACTTTTATCTAAAATATAAAACACACATCATGACGTTTAACTAAAATATAAAAACCACATCGTTACATTTAACTAAAATATAAAACCCACGTCGTAACTTTTAACTAAAATATAAAAACCCACGTCGTGACTTTTGGCTAAAATATATATAAAAAAACCCCACATGGTTATTTTTTATCTAAAATATAAAAAACACATCGTTACATTTAACTAAAATATAAAACAACGTCGTGACATTTTAACTAAAATATAAAAGACCACTTCGTGATAATTAACTAAAATACAATATGAAACCCATATCGATACAACCACGTTCAATATGTCATATATTCACATATGTAGCAGGTTCATTTTTTGCCCGCTTTCATTATTGTAAGCACAATGTCAATAGAGAACATACATGATTTTGCAAACCTATGTATGCATTATAAATGTATCTGATTATGTGATACAGGTATCACAGTTACATTAATCTTTGAAAGCTATAATTACTTACTCTAATCCAAACCAATTTACAATAACATATAAGAAAGAATGCCAGAATAAGAAAATCGATTATTAGTAATCATATGATGATAGTATAGCCTTATCAATGATCTCGTGCTTGATAATATGTCTAGTAGGCCCAAGTCAAAGCGGCAGTGACAGTCCAATAAAATATAGAGAAAAACGATTTTACGTCCACTCGTGACTTATACTGTTCGGTTATATTTTAATAAGTGGCTTGCGCGTAGAGGTAATTAACAGTGGGGGGGGGGGGGACCGGGGGACTCTGAGAAAATATGGTTGGACAGGCAACGCTACTTCTTGACACGTACAAGTTGGGAATCGAAACCAAGACAGCTGACTCATTAAAACTCGTTAAACCATTCGGACCCCCCCCCCCTCCCCAACAACACCTCCCATCAATAAAATATAAACGAGTCATGGCGAGAATATTAAGTTTTTTATATTTGAATATAAGTGAAATAAATGTTGCCGGGCGAAAAATTTTTATAGCCCCCCCCCCCCCACACACACAAAGAAAACCCCAACCCAACAACGTTTCTTAATGTAGATGGCCCTTTACTCAAGTTAAAACTGCTGATTAATTGTGACCAAGCTAATTGTGGATATACTTAATATAGATAATCATTTTACCAAGTCGACCGAATGTACACTGTAATACGTTCACGTTCTCCTAAAACCTAACATACACGGGCAGATTTAATATAGATAGGCATATAAGTATATAAGTGTGACAAATTAGCATTTCGCCACATGTTTAACATTCCTAAATTTGTATTAACCGCTTTTACTCTCGCCTCAGTATACATACTTTGATAGCGTTGCATACAAAGGCACGATGCCGTATGTTATAGGCAATGATATTTATTTGTAGGGGAAACATTCAATTTTACTTGCCTTACACTGCCTTGGTCATATTTTGTATATGCCTGAAATAATTTAGTAGTTTTTGGGAGAGGTGGTCAATTTTAATGTTAAGTAGGGTAATCAAGGGAAGTTAACTCTATTTCATTTTTAGAGTCGAATTTTACTTTTTACTTATTTAAATAAGTATATATTGATATCATTTATGTTTCAAAATCTTTAATTTCATATGTTTTAACTATGTTTAGTTAGTTTTATGTGAGACATTGGTTCGTTTATTTTATTAGATCATATCTAGTTAGGGACTTTACCATTAAGATATTTATAACATATAGTTCTTATATGTGGCTATGTATTGCATATACAGCAGTATTCTCTCACGTTGTACGATACTTTCTGGATAATCAGATCACCGTTGAATCGGTTGTCTACGGGGATATTGTCTACGAGTATAATAAGTGAATGTGAGTTTTTGATGTCATTAAATTTTATGAGGTGATAGATATGTATTGTTCTTCTTTTACAAGAAGATGAATGTTAGAGGTCACCCTTACTTTACGTTTACGATTAAACCGCTCGTGCCGTAATCTCTTGTTAGTGTTCTTTTATTAGTATTGCGTGTGACCCACCATAAATAAATATCTCCAAATATCTCGACAATTGCGCCACAATATTTATATATATGCCAAGCCTCAAATCAGTTTCACACAATTATAGTCACTAAATAAACGATCATGTTGTACTTAATAAGCTATGACCAGTAATCATCTATAAATAATAGACTGAAAACTGGTTCCAAGTTGCGTCCATAACATCCAGACACTTTTGAGTAAAAGATAGGTTACGTGCCCTTGTTTTGAAATTAGTCTCGCTTAACCAGTCTATCGACCATTCTACGTCTGATTGACAGGTCGGGATAATCAAGACTACTTTTTTACGAAACATAACAGAAAGCTAGAACAAGAAATTGAATTTAGAAATAAGCACTTTAGACAACTCAACAATTGTTTTAAGAAACTTGTAAAAGTAAAATGAAACTACTGCTAGTATCATGTTCCTGCTAAAGAAAGTGATTCAGAGATAGTATTTGTACTAAACCAAAAGATGCCGCTCTTAACGGTACAGTTAATGATAAAGCAATTTAAAAAATAAAACAAACGTAATTACTAAAGCTGCTGTAATAACCAAGAAGCTAAATTTTACTGCTATTCAAAATCGTCAACAATAGATTTTTTACGGCTGTAATAGTTGATATATTTGTAGAGAATTGCACGTGCCATGGCTATTTATCGACTCAAAGCGAGTGCGGGGTAGTCAGAAATCAGTTCGCGACACGCAACTGAAGCGTGCACATTTAGCCGTGTCGAGACCAACTTTCTGTAAAGTGCACGGGTCATCCTAGTATTGCGTGTAACATAAGTACTCAACTGTTACTGCGAGTGCTAGTGCAATTAGGACATCACGATACAGGTAATACCCTCACGTTCGCATACAGCCTTGCACACACGGGCAGATTTAATATAGATAGACATTTAATTGCTCAACTGAATACACCGCGGTACATGTAATACACACACGTTCACATAAAGCCTAGCACACACGGTCAGATTTAATATAGATAGATATAAAGGTACTCAACCGCGAGTACTAGTACAAAGACACCACGACACATATAATATACCCACGTTTGCATAAAGCCTGGCACACGCGGGCGATTTTTCCCTCGATCGTTCGTTCTTGGTGTTTAACGTCTGCTTCCACATAAGTGATATCGCAGACAAGACATAGGAGAGCCGAAGCTGATTCCTGTTTTTTAGAATATGATTTTGCAATCTTTCCATTTGGCCTTAGGCCATGGATTTGGTTTAGTGGGAAGTTCTTCCCTTTATTTAATATAAAACATATCGTTTGGTAGATGATCTCGTCTGCTTCTGGATTGATAGATGTCATCGTTTTAGTGTTTAGGTGCCAGGCCCGTCTTATCGTGGCCTCCCCTTACTCCACTAAATTTTTCCCTTGTTGAATCAATGAGGAAGAAGCAATAAGCAGGCGGCATTTCGGGGATTGCCAACGCCGATCAAAATGGCTTCGCCTATAAATGGAAATTTAGTTCAGACTGGATGACAATATGTAAGAACACATAATTTTAAGTGATTTCAATGTGACACGTGCACTGCGATTAATGTACGATTTCAGAGCTAGGCCTACAATAAACTCTTTGTCACCGAATATCTGGCAAAACATCGTCGACAGAAAAAGTTAATATCCTGCACACGGACACTTTGTTTTGTATTAGTACAATGTCAACAATTAAATGTCGCTTAAAATTTGTCTTTAATGTCGTGAATTGAACGCAGATATGTGAATTTATGACATATTTTTTTAATTTTTTAATTCTACTGTGAAAATCTGATAAAATTTCCTCAACCATTGCTGTCTGCTTTACTTTCCCAGTGTCATCGAAAGTTATCTTTCCTTCTTTGGAGCATTCATTTTAACAATTTTACATGTAACCCGATGACCTTTGACCCCAAGAACTCATGATGTGTTAAAAGACAAAAGACAAATGTCAATTGACAAAGTTACTTAGTCGAAGTGTATATGTGAATAAGTTGTGTTTGTAACGTTAGTGGATTTTTTTTTTCAAAACACATTTGAAATTTGACATTGACATTTACATTAACGGCATTATGTATTTTTATAACGACATTTGTATTTTGCATCTTAGGTATAGGTACTTTTCTATGATGATAATAACACTTTTAACATACATTTAGTTTTGGCCCTTAAATCCCGCCATACATTTCTACCCAAATGTGTAATATAATTAATTATACAACAATATGTAATGATTCGGACAGTTAATGCGTTATATTGTTTATCGTTCTTCACGGTAGACAATTTTCGATTTAATTTATTTATCGCAGTCGAATGGTGACTTGATCGTAGGAGCCGATGGTTATATGTGGTCATTATGTCTGGTTCCATCCACAGGTCAGAGAGAGAGAGAGGAATGAGGTTTAACGTCCACTCGACACAAACTAGGTCATTTCGGGACTAACATGTTTTAATTTTATTTACATAATTCGCTTGCGCGTAGGGGTCTTTAGCAGTGGGAGGAAAGCGGAGGACCCGGAGAAACCCCACGAGGTTGGACAGGCGACCCTACTCCTTGTCACGTACAACCGGGGATTCCACAGGTCAGACATTAAATTAATATTACATTGATCAATCTGTGAGTTAGTGGAGTAGAACGGATAACGATAACATTGGTAGGAAAACTAATTACTTTACACAAGTTATAAACAAAAAATTGTATGTAGCTGAAAATATGGCCATATCACATATTATTTTTTCCAATCGATGAATAGAGAGGACGCTCTTTTCAGTTCTAAAATCCAAAGATTCAATTAAGTTACATATTCTCCTATATAATTGTTTTATTCATCTGAAAAACGCTTACCTGCTTGCAGTTTCTAAAATCCAATATTCAATATTACTATTAGGCCTTTGCTTTGTGTTGATCAATACACATTTATTTCCTTTTCAGCTTGTGAATAACTGAATAATGCTGATTATTCTCTGAACGCATGCAGACAGGCGGTGGATGTATATAAATAGCAACAGTGTCGGTAAATTTCCCCAACATGTTCGGGTCATATTGTCTGGCATTGGTAACAGACGCTCTTTTTGTCAGTGTGTAAAATTGACGAACATGTGCGTTAAATGGTGAAATCTTGCTACAAATAATAAATGATAAAATCCAAAAGCTAAAAGCATAAATGAAATAGCCATTAACAAACCTTTATTGTCGTGATACTGACTGTCTATCCCAAACAATAAAGAAATTTGCCCAAAGGCAGTATTATTGTAGGGGTTAACGTCCGCTATAAGGTGTTTACCGCAGACTCTATCTATCCAATAGACAGTAAGCTCATTAAAACCGGCTATTTCCCTCCGATTGGGGAAATTTACTTTTAATACAAGGTCAAGGCTGAAGCAAAATCTGTCCGATCTACACATTTATGAATCCATTTAGCTGGGCTGTTTTATATTTACCTATTACATTTAGAAAGATTAAAGCACTTAGATAAGGACAACACGGTCCTACACACAAACCAAGGACACGTAGGGTTATTTCTAGTGTCAATGATTTATAACTGTCGTCAACTGTCAGTCAGGATTACTAGGGGCGTACATATCGATTTTGTTTGGGGCCGAGTGTTTAGCAAAAATGAGACCGACTGATGCATACGTCCCTAATTCGAGTGACGCAGCCACGAGTCGAGCACCGCAGGTGTGATCTTTTTAGGGGGTCGGGGGGGGGGCGCATTCTCCCTCGGAGAAATTTTTGAATATAGAGGCCCTGAAATGCCATTTGGTGGACTTTGGCGGAAGATTTTGCATTTTGCAGAATTCTGATGGTCAGAAAACACTTATAACATGAGTAAAATTTAGTACACGAGAATTCATGTTATTTATTAAGAATTTTACAAGGGTGAAATCTACGCGCGCAATCCAGCAATCCACAACTCTTTGGAAAAAAAAGTGTATCGTGTTACACGTAAACATACGTTCGGCTCAAATTTAAATAATCAAATTCACAGTATTTTAGTTTCCTTTGGTTTTGAGCCTAAGGAATATAAAAACTAAACGTATAGGAAACTTCAAAAGGTATTTCACTTGAGATTTATCACATTGTGGAGACCGGAGTCTTAATATTGGGTTCATAAGTTCAGCATTATATAATTTATAAATTCTTTGAGACCGACTGCCCTCATATTGAGGCCGACTATTTTGTTTTCCATTTTGTACCTCCACCCCCCTCCCCCCAAAAAAACTTTTACGCCCCTGTCCATTACTATATTTGACACCATTTTCCACACTTATATAAGAATTGATTATTTGAACGCACGAGTAGATTATCATAAAGGGAAACCCCCAGTATACATACACCGTTGTTAAGGTTGCTTTTCAGAGTTTGTGAACAGCAGTGTAAAAAGAATATTAATATTAAATAGGTCCATAGAATGTAGGTTTTATAAGGCAGTGTTATAGTATCTGTAATTTTCGAGCGCTGTAAATCTTACATTAAAGATGCGTTATGTAAGATTTAATAAAGAGCTGACCGTTCTCGCTACAAAAGTTTAAAGATAGCCACGCAAAACGTGGAATACCCCCACACAGGAGGTTTGTCTCAACAGCAGCTTATCCCAAAGGAAAAGTTAGATGTTGAGCAAGTTTGATAAAGAACTAGGATCCTTAAAGAAGTCTAGTCTTCTGGGTTCCTTCTCCTATGACCTCATTGTTTCCAACCAAATTTGAAAAAAAACAGTGGCTGCCAGGCAGGATACGCCCACATTTTGCAAGAAATGGATACAGAACAAGCTAAACAAAAAGCGATTTTTTGTGCAATCAAGGGCCATAATTCAGGAAGTTATGATCCGATATGCGCGAATATCGAAAAGAACCAAGATCTTTTGATTATAAACATGCATGTCAAGTTTCGTCAAAATCAGGCGAAAATTTTGACCTCTAGAGTGTCCACAATATAAAACGTGATTTTTCGTACAATCGGGAACCATAATCCATGAAGTTATGGTCCGATATATGCCAATATCGAAAGGAACCGAGATCTTTGGGAGACAGACCTATATTTTAAGTTTTGTAGAAATCGAATAAAAGTAAAATTGTGACCTGAAGAGTGTCCACAAACAAATTGTGGACGGACGTTCGGACGGACGGACAGGGGCGACGACAATATACGTCCAAATGAAAATGTGGGCGTATAAAAAGTCTGTTAAAACATATAACCTCTATCACGTTCACAAGGTCTAAATAGTTCTAATGAAATATCTATTCACTTTCCATATAATTACCGTAGATTTTTTTACCAACTTGTAACATTTTGTTAAATACGTATATAATTAGTAGCCACCAAACTTACCCAAAATGTATTATTGGTATCTGCATGTATTTCTTCCCCAATAATCGAATGGTCCTGTTTTTATTTCAGCAAAAGTAGACATTTGTGTACACCCATCTTCACCTGCCAAGCGTCGGTCAATCCATTAATTCTTGTTGACTCCTTTAAAGTAATTTCTTTTTGACAAATACATGTATATAAAACAAATTGCAGGGATTGTTCGCATTTATCTCTTTTTTGCATTTAAACTTATTACATCGTAAACGTTATATAGGACAAACTTTATGATGAAATTTTATAGGACTCAGTGAGATTTTTCCTTGATGATATATTACAGAAAATCTTGTCAAATTTCAAAATTTCCTGATCATATTGCGGATTTCTGTTCCTTTTTACTGTGTACGTTTTATAATGTCCAACACAGTAAGAAGGACGACAAGGGTTGCCGGCGTATAGGCCTACTCATTAAAGATGCCTATATTGCAGGTCTCTATTTTGGCTTCAAATATTATGATTTGTAAACTATTATTTAGACATTTATTATTAACATGAAAAACCTATAATCAACGCTGTAGAATATTCGGATTGTGAGGATTTAAACAGATTAAAACACGGTCGCCATTTAATGATTTAATTTAAAATTTGCGAATCGAGACCAAGTCTCGAATAACAAGTAGGCCTACCATTGTTACGATAATAAACTATCCACCATGCACGTTGTCAAACACTGATAACTTCGCTCAGAATAAAGTAATTTGAATGAAATTTTCAATACATTAATTTTGCATTATCTATTTTTGAACTATAATAGCAAGAACGGCCAGCTTTTTTTTTTTATCTAAATCTTACATAATGCATCTTTAACTAAATGTGTTTTAAATTCGATTTAATTTTAGAAAATATGGGACTTTGTCTTAGGCTGTGTATTTTATTAAGCATTCGATTCCCGGAAGTGGCACGATGAACTGACAGAGAACATTTTCCATATAATTTCTTATATTTGGTGGGCAATTCTTTGATGTTATTGGAGAAGCACAATCGGCAGATATAAATTTGTAAAATGAAATGAGCTTTACGTCTTACTTTGTAAACATTCAACAAGATTTCAAATGAAATGAAATGAAATGGAGTTTAACGTCCTACCAAGATTTCAAAGTCATTTCGAACTTTCACGTGTATAGCCAATGAAGCGTGTTCAGTGCATCAGAAATAGAATTCATGATTCATTTTTGGGCAATCTACAGACCCACACTGTTATAAACTATACTTGTATGGCGGGATTTAAGGGCCAAAACTAAATGTATGTTGAAAGTGTTATTATACATCATAGAAAATACCTAATATGCAAAAGACATATGTCGTTATACTTATAATGATGAATACATAATACCGTTAAAGTAATTAAAGTCAAATGTCAAATTACAATTGTTTTTTGGAAAAAATCCACTAATGTGCACAACCTTTTCACATATACACTTCAACAAAGCAACTTTGCAAAATGACATTTGTCTTTTGTCTTCTAACGTATCTTGGGGTTCTTGAGGTAAACGGTCAACAGTCAAAGGTCATCGGGTAACATGTACAATTGTTAAAATGAATGCTCCCAAGAAGGAAAGAACAGGTAGATGCTGGACCTTCTTTTAGTATCTGGAGACTTGTCAGTCATGATGTTGATATTATATAGATACGCTAACTATACTGTGCAAGTCTTTGTAATCTAAACAAGGTGCCACCCATTATTAAAATTACCGTTAATCATTCTTACAAACGAAGTTTCTGGGACATTATATACCCATATATATTTCAATTCGGTTTTAATTGTTATTGTTATACACATAGCCTTTATGTTATACACATAGCCTATATAGTCATATTAATTATAAACTTCACACACAATAGGCCTACATCTAGATTGATAATATTTAGAATAAATTTAATTTAATGTAAATGTACTTTTTGATAAATACCGAATGTGACTTGGGCTAACACAAGTTTAAATTAAATCAGAGTCAAGCGTGCTGACTGTAAGAATGTATAATTGTATAGGCATATTCATGCGGCATCTTATTTTTTTTAGAACGGGGGGGGGGGGGGCTGGCAAGGACAACTGTTTAGTCGTTTGGATGGTACGAAAACCCGAGGACCCGTGTATACATTGGCGTGTACGTAAAAGATCCCCTGGTAGTTGGAATTCGATATAAGAGTAGACCACAGTGCCGCTGCCGGGGCAAAATTTCCCCCCATAGCACACTGTATGCCATATGCCGGTCTTCATTAGGAGCAGAAAATTAGGACGTTAAATCCCATTTCCTTTCACTTATTTTTTTTTGCTGCCATATTTTTTGTTTAAATACCATTGTCATAGGCCTGTGTAAAGTCAGTAAATTACAGTTTCCTGGGGGAGTTGTGGTATGGTACTGGTGTTTCATATTTCGGATAACTTTCGTAAACTGCACTTGAGTAAATAAATAAATGAAATTAAATATTAAATCAGAATCAGATCTGTTCTCATTATTCACTGTAGTAGGCATGGGCAAGTATATGGGGTGGGATATGAAACGTTTTCCATCTCTTGTTATATTCAATTTTTGATTGCTGGCAGGCCAGTAAAAACTTTAAAACATTGTTGAATGAACCATTTTAAAATTAATCATTGAAATTACTTTCTTAATTAAAGAACATTTCATTAAATGGACTAATCGTTTTGTTTTCATGAAATGAGCTCCTTAATAAAAATTTACAACAAAGAACAGATACAAAATCAAAGTAAAATTTAAATTTTATTTCAAAAAGTTGTCGTAGATAATAAGCATTTAATATATATTTAATCTTTCCAAATATAATATACAGTTTCCGTACATTTAAATTGACGCAAGATTCCATTAATTGATAATAACAAGTAAAGCCGTAAAGTCAAAATCCATACAATATAATGTCAGAATGTCACTAAGCTGCTTTTAGCAGACGACGACGACAAGCTTATCTTTCCTTCTTGGGATCATTCATTTTAACAATTCTACATGCGACCCGATGACCTT